AAAATTGTATAAACTGAAAATAGTCTTGGAACTATTTACAGTAAAATCTAAATTCTAAACGTTTAAGGATATTTCGAATTGTTATTGAACTGTGATTAATACTGAAGATATTGTAAGCAAGAAAGAGATTGTAAGTACGAAAATGAAAACCATGTCTGCCGTGTCTATTATATTTTGTAATAACTCTCGCAACTACTTCATCTTGTCCATAGTAGTTAGTTTTGTGCCTTGAATGGCGAAAGAGCAGCTATCGAAGAAGAGGCTAGGAATTCTACTTCCTGCAATAGTTTAGGTCAAGTAGCAGTAATAGCTAGGAATTTCTCTTACTAAGGAAAATTCTGGATTTGATAGTAGATATTTGACACACTTACTCTGTACCAGTGCAAGTATGTGAATGTGGCCCTTGGGACTTGGATTCGAAATTACGCTCCAATATTCCAGTAGGGTTACGTAACTTTTGAGTTGCTACTAACATAGACCTAGACTAGCCAGTGGAGTCGGAGTGTGTCGTCTGTTTATAGTTCATTACAATTTTTAATTGGCCGTCAAGTGTTTTATCACTTACACACACCTCTGTTTAAGTAAGACGATGATAAAAAAAACACTAAAAATCGCGGTCGGAACTGGAAATTACGCTACGTAGTGGAAAAACGGTTGATGAGGTTCAGTTAACGTTTAATCCAACAATATTGATAATATAATACAACCGGGCGACTTTACAACATGTGACACCCTATAGCATTTCCGAAAAATCGCACAATAATATAAACCCGGTGTACTCTCGAGAGCTACGTTTGGCCAATAATATTCACCTAAAATTAGATTACATTTTAAGGGTTGAAATTGAAATTAAATCCGGTTTTACAGAAACAATATAAGTATGATGTTTATAGAACTTACTAGATAATCACGAACCATCCTAAAGAGAATATGTATAGGTAATATCTACACCGAGTGCATAGTAAGTATAAGAACGATTCGCAAATTGTCATTTTATTCCCCTAGGGTGTACTTAGCCTTGTCCAATCGGTTGGTACCGCAGGACTGGCTCTGCAAACCCTGCAAACTGAAACTACGGGCTCGCTGGTCTGATCTGTTCATAGATATAAGAAAGTGACCAATTGCTTTTGAATGGCATTATCGACGGGTGGTCATTAACAGATAATGCAACAAGATTATGACCTAGAGTTTCGGAATATAAATTCAGGTAAAATTGTGATCCGCAATAGAAAATAATTTTTTACCTACCTGTGTTTAATATTATTTGGTTTGGTATACTACTTAGTTTAAGTTTATTAATAATCATTCTTATTACGTGTGTAATACTGCGGGTATTGAATCGTGTGCGAATTATGCAAAATCGCACATATTTTGCGTCTAGTGTATCTCAGGAGATGCTCCCGCCCAAATGTAGAAAACACTATTCTATTGAGACTAAGGAAGTTATAAACAATGTTTATTTGACTCTCATTAAACGTGGTGTCAGCAAGCAAGCAACTTTAGAAGAAACGGCCACATTGGTGAAAATTCCAACACCAACTGTATGGAAGCGAGGAAAAAAAGAAGCGATGCTGACCTTTTCTCGAGTGTAGATGAAAATGATCAAGATATAATACAGCGCAAAATTTATCAGTTATACGAGGAACAAAGCCTATATCTATATTGCAAATAATATTGAACAAATAATAATTAGAACAGGCGATGCTAGCGATAGTGTTACTGATATATTATGTGAATAAACATAAATACATACATAAATAAATAAATATTGTTTAGTATCTTTCATAGCAAAACCCCAAATAATTAAATTCTAAGCAAAGTACGGACCTGTTCGGCCATATTTCATTCTTACAGCTTGCCCGGGTCTTTCCTTAATTCGTATCAGTTAGTCACTTTCTTATATCTATGACATGACATTACAGTACGACACTGGAGATGACAGTGAGCAAAACAAGATGGCTTCCTAGGCCACAACAATCTCAATCGGAGTACTCTCATAGAGAGAAAAAAAACGCCTAAAGATAGAAAGATGACTATATTACGGCCTGGTCAAAATGGGAACGGGAGGAAGTCTAGATCACCTAAGACACGTAGACGTTCACTGACCAAAATTCGGAGCACCAAACTGATTAAATAGAATCAGTGATACGACAAAGACCCGAAATACCACAACACCAAAAGATAACCATAAGAATTTGGGCTTGGGTGAGAATACAATGATAAATCAAATTTTCAATAGGCAAATTGCAAATACCGCGTCAAAAGTTTCCACCTAGATTCACTCTCTCAACCGCAAGTAATCCACCGACGATAGCACCTAACCAATTTTTTTTTGTTTATAAGGAAGGAACAAAAAAGAGATAACGCAATTTAAGTTATAGGGTGAAACAAAATTTAATTATCCGCTCGGATGTTTAATCGTAATACGGAGAATTCGTATCAACACTGTATAGCTTTTTCTCTTTATGAAAAAACCTATTTGTCAAAATGTCGTGGAAACAACATTATCCTATAACTGTAATTGTTGTTGAAGGTTTGTCGAATATAACGCCAAAATTGTTACTGGTGTCATCCCAATTTTTCATCCATGGACCAATAGATAGAAACATAGAGATAGGTACCAACAAATTCAAACTATACCCACAAGATTTACAACTAACGAAAACTAACCATGGTACAGGGTGAAGATATTGAAATTTTCAATTTGTTAACTGTGCAAAAGTTAATAGATTTTTAAAAATGAATATAGGTATTAACTCTTTTACAAATCAAAATATCTCAAAACTATTTTTAGATTATATCAATCAATAGCCAATTTTACACCGTTACTTGAGAGATGTTTCCACCTTTGAGGTGTCTTATTATCTAGGGTTATTTTTTAATATCGGCTCACCTGCATATTATCCATCATTAAAACAGTACTTTAAATTCTCATATAATTTAAATTTAAGTTGCTTTTGGAATTTAGGCAACTGGTTAATATCATGACAGGCAGTCTAGTATAAACGTTAGACCCTTGTCTACTTGTCTACGTGCCTTAACGCTCCACGCTTTTGTGTTTAGTCGAATTGCGCATACTTTGTCTGCATGGTAGAGCCTAAACGTAGTTTTCTTATCAAGGCAGACGAATATGAAAGTTTTCTGCCATTTTAAAAAATTCATAGTCAACTGAGCAAAATTATAGCCAAAGCGAATATCAGCTTATAATTAACAACTTTCAGACGTTTTAAATGTAAAAGAAAAATTGGGAGTAACCAGGAACAAACTTTGAACTCATTTGTGTAAGCAAACTAAAATTTGCGCACTGAGCTTTCGTAGCAAAGTTTTCAAGGAAAAAGATAAAAAGTCAGGAAGTCGGTCGATTAATAATTTCAATTTTGTGCCGTGAGAGCAAAACCTGAACTTGATTTAAAACTTTACAACTTTATAGTATATTACGCAACACGTTTGATAAACGTCCCTTTAGTCACAAGTTTATAACGTGCTGCATACTATTCTTTTTCTGAGGCCGTTATTTTTTAAGTACATTTGTGCAAATCAATACGAATATTTTGACTAAATGACGTGTGTCGTGACCATCAGAACTGGCAATCGTCAAAATACCTTGAGGCTAAAAAAAAATGAAAACATCCGATCGGTCCTAAAGTCGTGGCCAAAATACCGAAAACACGCCATTTAGTTACCGACGTCTGAAGTGACACTTCCTACATGCATTATCGGTGCATATTTGGGTATTTTAGAGTAGGAAGTAGAAAAAAATATTTAATCTCTTTAAACTCTGGAGAAAAAAATTCAAAAGCTAATTTGATTTAAATTGGTATATCGTAAAATGGATTTACTATAGAGAAGATGTTTTTACCAACGTCAAAGCCAATCACATTGTGGTAGTTAATTAACTGAACTAGTTTTAGTTACAAATTTTGAAACAAAATCCATTAATTATTATTGTGCACACTTACTAGTTACTGCAACACAAAACCGTGTTGTTGTATTCATCAGGATAATTCTATGAAGCACTTTATAATGCCGTAACAGTTGTAATATAATTCTCGGTATAGTTTATCTCAAAGTATATCGTATTGCTCATTAATAAATAATTTATTCATAGTGGGGTGGGCCAGGTATTTCATGAGTGATGAAAAAAGAAGCTGTAAGAGAAAGCTACTCCTAGAACCTAGTAGAACCTAGAAAAATTAAATTTAGTTAATCAAAATGTTAATTAATACCGATTCCTTTATACAAACTGATGACTCTTGCATTTCTATACAAAAGAACAAAACACCTGACGACGATATAATTATTAATTTATTAAAAGTTTGTATATATTTAACGTTGTTGTTTTTTCTTATAATAATAATTAATATTATTTAAAACCTCTAAAGAGTCGTCTTAAATATTTTGTCCTTAAATATCTACCGGTCGCAAGTACACTTATACTTTGACACAAAATATACCCAAGGTTACTCCAACAGAAACAGATTCTTTTATTTTATTCATTGAACATGAAATCTTTGTTTCTGCCAGTTTCCGACTTTTAGACATGTTAGTAATGACACTTCTGAGGTCCATCAGGGAGATATTTTTCAATTAAGGCCCTCACCACGGTTCTCAATTGGTCGACTATTTATAACTATTCTTAACGTGGCAGTCATTTCAAAACAATGCGCGGTGCATCTCAAATTGAAAAGTATCAAAGATACACATTTATTTTTGTAATATTCTCTCTACCATTTTTGAGTTATAATCCCAGCGTACTTCTAGAACGCGAATTAAAGATGTATTGCACCACTTCTGGCATTTGAATTCGTTAGTAATTTAAATATGTACAAATTAAAGAGAATTATCGCCGTATAAACATCCCTAAAAACAATCGACAAATGACACCGGGTAAGGCAATCAGCGGTCAGTGGGAGTGGCGTCGTTTTCAGCGAGACGGCGCGGCGCGACGCTGGTGAGTTTGCCACCGTTCCAGAGATTCAGTTTCCGAATGCGAAGCTTTCTGCTTTGACGAAAATCATCGGCATCAACTCGGAAGAAAGTTCGACTAAATATTTGTTTATTTTGGCTGTTATGTGAGACGCGTCCAAGTGCCCGACGATGGTTGGTGAATCCACAGGTTATGCAGTCCTGGTTCTGTTGATTTTCTTTTTTTCTATCGGTTAGTAATCTTAATTTATTATTTTTAAAAGATTAGCGAAAAAATTCAATTCATATATAATAGCAGCCGCTATTTTTTTTTGCTAATGAATTATGACGCTGCTCTACGTGGATGCATTAGTTCCCAAGACTCGCAACTTTTTAATGTTGATGATTGATGATTAGCTGTTTTATAGATTTATTGTACCATTGCCACTGACTTTTAGAGGTAGGAATTTAAATAGTATGGCGTGAATTCATTAGTTTTGGGATCGTTTAAAGGATAAAGCAAATAAGAACTAAAAAATCCTGCTGCGCTTCTTGTGGCATACTTTGTAACAAGTATAGGTGTAGATATTTTTTTGTTTTAATTGTAGTTTAAAAGGTTTTTAGAATTTTACAATGAGACTCTAGATAGGTAAGTATTAGGAGGATCTATAAATTGATAAATAGCCGAATAATATATTTAGTACTCTCAAAGATAGTGTGTCAAAATTTTAAATATTTGGACACCTATAAACTCAAACAAAAAGCAAGCAAGCAAATACAAAACGAAACAAATGAACATTGCAAAAAAAAAATAAAAAAATAAATGTAACAAAACCTGAAATAAACCTGTTTAAACTTAATAATAAAAATAAGCAAATATTTACTGCGGTTTAATTTTGCTTAAATTGCAGCCATCTTGTAAAATTCAAATTAAATGTAGCCGAAGAAAGCATGAATATCTGTACATTAAAACTTGATTCATACAAATAAATCACGAGACAATTAAATGGAAATTCCGTGAATAACTGCTAATTTCTATTTTACGAATATAAATGCAATTTAAACTTTACGAATTAAATTAAACTAAGTTTAACTGGAATGCTTGCAATTATACACTCAATACCCGAGGCAACTTAGTTACCGCTTATTTTTCATTGCTCGTATTTGCCCAGTTAGCATTTTAATGATAACGACTACCGACGGAATCAGCAAAAATTGCAATAAAAATCGTAAAACAATAAAAAGTTTTAGCAGTAACCGATTATTATTATTATGTCGATTCGAAACTGTAGGTGCCAAAATATTATAGTTACCCAGTAGATTTTGAAAAAGCGATTTGGGGCCGCTGAAACCATTGAAAGGTTTTTTGAAAGCCAACCAATGTTGTTTTATCAACATTTTCCTTTCGTTTTGCGCAAATAATATGTCCTTACTAACTCACTAATTAGTTATAAGCTAAACTCTCCCTAGAATGTGTGGAATGTTGAAATGGAGAAATTCTGACAGTCGCATACCTGCAATTTTCAATTAATTTTTTCTGACATAGAAAACATTAAATATTAATTAGTTTAATTTTTTTTTTAATTATCCAAGTGTTTCATAAAAAATTGTATAAGGCCGCGAGTTATGAGACCTACTTTTCTTATGTCAATTAATAGTACATTATGGAACACTTCAGTAACGAGTTTGTTAAGGTATAAGCGAGGTAATCAATTTCAAAGAAACTTCCACAGGTCACCGTAATACTATTTACAAATCATCTGGATTCCTCCTGCGTAGTTTCAGTAGAGCTCTGAAGAAGCCAACAGGATCATTCACAAAACGTTAGCAAGTTCGACTAATGAGAAATCCAGAATATATGTAAATAGTATAAAACACTTTAATATAATTTTATAATATATTCCGAAAACATCCGATCGCTCTCAACATGTGACTAAAACACCAGAAATGCTCGAGTTACCTTGCGACAATTTTTGATGACGCTGACGTTTTAAAGTGACAACTGGCGTACCCCTGATCAGAGTCTAATTGAGTAGTTTGCCGCAAGGAGTACAAAAATGTCACTTAGCTAATAAATAACTAGAATTACTCAACTATTCAGAGTTTAAAGCACCCAACCAATAATAATATAGTGACTGTTGTCAATATGACTAAATAAAATAGAACTTCACATATTTTTTAAATATATTTCTAATCAATTTGATTCATAACTTATAACAAAACATTAATTAAAAGATATAAAACTTAAATTAGCAGATTCTTTGATTTTAGCATTTCTTTCCTAGCAAATGTATTTCCAATTTCAAAATACTTACTCGTTCTCGAAATGCTTTGAGCATAGAGGAATATGGTTGGAACTTTCCTATATTAGCTATTTGTAGACTATTAAAATACATAAAAAATTGCAACTTTTATCTAAAACGGGTTGTGATTATTTGTTATTTATCCACTGTAAAAGGAGAAGAGGAAACGTTTTTCAATAGAACCTAACCTAGAAAATAAGTGAGAGTGTTAATTTAAATCAGTGTACTCATTATTCATAAAGTTATTTTACTTTAATACCTCCGTGTGTTCGTAAATTCACAAAAAAACGGACATCCAGCAGCAGTGTATATTTAGTTTTATGTGTGTTTTGTACAATTAAGTTTCTTTCAGGTCATTTGCCTATTGCATCCAAAAACTTAAATTACTAATTATAAAGTCTTTTTTTGTAAAACAACTAAAACTACACACAGTGTTTTATTTACATAAAACAACTGAATTCTGAAGAAAAAAGCTGGAAATAATTTGCTAGGAAGGAAATATTAAAACTATTTTTCTAAAATATTTCTTAGTCCACTAATGATTTAATGTTGGTAGCTTCAGAGAACTCTGCATTTAAATACCCAACTTTTATTTAATTTAACCGAAACTGAAGGTTTAATGGTTTAGAAGTTATATACCAAACAATTCTATTCAAGAATTTGAAAATATAAATTTGACGTTGGCTTCCTTCAATTGCCTGCACATAGCAATCTTCAAACACCATGCAAAACAAATCTGCTGCAGGGCTGGATACGAATATTACGAACGAGAGAAAAACTTTTGATATTAACAAATTTGTGCCTCCATTTCGCGTGGAACTTTTCGAATCCACTTCAATTCCGCGTTGCGGTGCCACTTTTATGTTTGTAAACAAACATGGATATCGTGCAAAAAACAAAAGAAAGAATAAGCCGCAAGTTTCTAAAGTCTTGGTTTGATTCTACACTTTACCTACTCCGCTATGTAATAATATAACTATATTTTTAATTCACTTTTGTTTGTATAAAACAACAGGAATTCGAAAAATCAAAAGGAAATAATTTATTGATATGCACTAATAAAGGTAAGGTAATAAGGTAATAACTTTCACAGGTCACCGTAATACTATTTACAAATCATCTGGATTCCTCCTGCATAGTTTCAGCTCTGAAGAAGCCAACAGGATGATTCGCGAAACGTCAGCAAGTTCGCTTAATGAGAAATCCAGAATATATGTAAATAGCATAAAAGACTTGAATATAATTTTTTTTAAAAACGTTGACAAATCGCAAAATAGAAGAGTTGTTTGCGTAAATATTAAATGAAAATAAAATGGTTGCCTGCATTCGTTATAATTAAATTATACAAAAAACGTAAAAATAAATATAATTAATAACATTAAAATGTCGCCAATATATCAAATATGCTAATGTAATAATAATCCACTGGGACTTCTAACATTCCTTCAGTTAAACCAATGGCTACTTTTTAACCCACAAGTGCTTTTTGCTCAATTTGATTGCCCCATATCAAGATCGCATGCCACCTTCACTCATATTAAACATAATTAACATATTATAAATACTATAACTAAATTATTTTTATAAAATATGCAAATTCATTTTTTATATGAATGAAGTGGTAAATAAATAGAAAATTGTATTAAATCAAAAGCTTCAATACATTTCTACACAAAATTAAAGGACAAAGATTAAATCAAGTGATGAACGACTATCAATTTATTTCTAAAGAAAACTTTCGTTTTTCGGAACGTTATTATGACAAATTGAAAATCGTTTCACAGGGTTAAACAGATTTCATTTTATTTATTCTAAATGATCACGCTGATTTGATATTTCTGTGAAAATCCGATTTATTGCCATAAATTTAATAATTGAAATACATTCAACGAATGGGTGACATTAGTGATGATTGCTACAACGGTATAAACTTTGTAAAGATTACTGGCAATTTTAATTATATTAAGAATTATTTAAGCACACTTTCTTTTTAAAAAAGTTATACTGAAAATTAATATAATAGTCGGGGGCTGGCAATCATTTGAGTTAACTTTCCTTCGATATTGGGCGCCTAATGACACTAAAAAAGTTGAGAGATCCATTAAGTCACTCAAACCGATTCAAATGAGCTATCGCTGTCGGTCTGACCACTCAGAAAGGGTATTTTTTCACAGAGATGTCGCACCAAAAGCGAAAGGCAGAAAAAGAGACGAAGAATTATAACATTAAAAACTCCCTTTAAATCTCAAAACGAATATTCTAACAAAGGGGAAGATAATTTTAGAAATCATTTTCTTTCCAACTTTTCAAAAATGGTAGACTCTTTGATGCGAGAGATTTATATTTAATGCTTTGATGGTTGTTAGCAGAGAATCTAAAAAGAAAGTGGTTCTTCTTTTATTAATTCATACAAATCTTATTTTGAAAGGATCCTAGAGAAATGAAAATAAACAAATTTACCTAAGTCACAGATGTTGTAGAAATTTGCTAGTGGCATTATTTATTTATCAAATTCACGCCAATAAAGGTACATGTTTTATCAAAAAAAACATACAAATAAATACAATACAGAAACAATACATAATAAGACAAAATATAAATTTTCCTTCACTCATACCACTTATAAACTCCCTCAGCAATCATTCACCTATTCTCCCAGTTGATACGGAAAAACTCCTTCCTTGTTTTACTCAATTATTATTGTGTTCTTAGTTTTTAAATTTGCTTTTATTAGTAATAAGTCTAATAGAGTCTGGCAAGTGATTGCAAATTGCAATAGCTGCTTCTCGTGGTAGTCAACCCAGTCAACACACAAATTTTATATCTTTTCGGATTAAACAGCTCAATTACAACTCTTTTCGCACTAGGACAGATAACATCAGAAACGAAATTTGAATTTAGTACCATGTGATGTAAAACTTTTAAATTGAAACTGTCACAAAAATTAAGA